GCAATTATCCGGATGCCACAAAATTTACCTAGTACAAGCTAATGTGATATTTCCTTACCTCCTCTGTTCGTAGATCAATCAAAAGCACTTGTCTGCTACGCCAATTAGCCACCCACAGTCCATGGCTTATATCCGGGCTGTAGGCTAGACCAGTGGCAGCTTGGCCTTGAAATGCCTCTCCAGTCAGCATCTGTCGAACGCAGCCGGTCTCAGCATCTAAAATGAGAAGGCGGTCGTGGCCTGTATCTAAAAGACAGGATATTTGAGCCGGTGGAGATTGGATATGGTGAGCTAAGGTTCCAGACAACCGACCCGCTCCTGAGGAAGGAGAGGTAGTCTGACCGGGGGCCAAGTGATTAGGTATGGAAGGTGAAACAGAGGGGGAAGGCGACGGCGAAACGGAAGAGAAAAAGAAAGAGGCTCGATCTGGCCCCTTGGAAAGGCTTGAGAAGAGGTTGGTCGGTGTGTCTGAATTTTCTAGTCTAGAGGGTTCATGGTCGGAGCCCCGGCAAAATCGGCTCGGACCTTCAATGCTTGCCGTCTCCTCACTGGAAGCCATGCTTGAAAGTCCATCTGAAGTAGCCTCGTGTTGGCCTCCCCGAGTGTTTGACAAGCAGGAGGTACCAAACGTAGAACCTAAAAGACTGACGGCTGAATTATCATCTTCACTAATTACGCGGCCCAAGTGCACACTAGGAGTCCGCAAATGGAGCTGCGAGTTCTGCTGCTCTGGAAAGCATGGGATTTGCTGCTGGTAGTGATGGTAGTGTTGCTGCTGTGATTGGGAATGTTGAAGGTTAGAGGGCTCTTCACTATGGCTTTGTAGTTGTCGAGCGCGGCGATCAAGACCAGCATTTATCGTTGCGCTAGTCAGGCTGATCAAAGAAAGAGCAGAAACTGAGCACAATGAGGACGGAATGGGGGCTGCCTGGCGGTTTGGATCCTGGGTCTGAGTCTCAATAGGCACAGCTGCTGTTAGCTCTGATGAGTCTCTAACCTGTGCAGAAGGTGGAAAAACCATGCCGTCTGGAAGCAAGGAAATCAATTTGTCAGGGGATTGGGGACTCAGGGGATCCGAGTGACGGGTATCGAGAGCAGGAATGGCTCTGGTGTTAGAAAGCTGGTAGGCTGCTGATAGAGGAATAGCGATGATAGCGAAAGGCTGTACAAGGCTGCGACAATCAGCCCCTAAAATGGGATAAAAAAGAACGCTTATTAAATAGGGACGTATTCCACACAATATTTATAACTCTTATTAAAAATCTACCGATATATTCGAAACCTATTTTAAACAAGTATAGGTAACGTAGTCGATCGTAATCACAAAACACTTGTCTGACTCATAAATAATCCCAGTAATAGAGATATAAGAGAGGCCTGGCCTCCTCAAAATCCTCCTGTGATCCAGGGAAACTCGTGGCAGTGTAGAGTGATGGCAATGCGACTGAGTTCGAATCTCACTGGAGGTGCTAATGAGACCAAAGCAATGTTCAAACTTCCGTCCACCCTGGACGAGAATATTAGTTGGGAAGAATATTTAAGTGAAATTCAATGGAGGTGTGAAGCCTGTTCATATCATTATTGGAAAATGTAAGAGGCTCACGATCCGATAGTGAAACCAAATGCTTATGAGA